TTCTTGTATCGGACTGACATATTACAGGCACCGATCCCACACTCATTGATGTAAGTGAAGCCATCTGTGCCGCAGATCTGGTCCGGAGCTCGGCCAGGGAGCCCCGGCTGCTGCTGCAGCTAAGCCGTGAAGGCAGCAGGGACGAGCAGCAAAGCAATGCATTTCCAAACAGTCTTCATTCCTCAGTGGACTTGAATGAAACCAGGGCTTCATTTCTATGAATGAAAAATACACTGTATGAGCTCGCTCTTTTTGCAAAGCCACGGTATGTTTGAACTTATGTGGATGCACCTCAGCTGGTGCAAATCCAGAGAAGCCTTCCAGGCTGGTGCTGGCCAGCTGGACACTGCCCCCTCACCTTATTTCTTTTTGCTTTCTTCATATCTACTAGTTGATCAGTGGCAAGCACCCAACAGAAGCCTAGGGCACGGCAAATAATCAAATAAAATTGTATCAGAAAGCAATAACAGAAAGCGAACAAACATTTCTGAGGGTGAACATGCTTAGGTGGATGAAACGGGTGGATACAAGGATTATATTTTTAAATATAGAGATCTAATTATAAAATCTTCAAACACCAGATTATTTCTTCTATTTTCAGCCAGTCATAAGTAACTGTGAAACTGATACAATGAGTTCATATAATTATTTCTGGATTTCATATATCTGAAGAATATATGGTTATAAAAGTGGTAAAAGTGGTAATAAGTGGTAATAAGACCATTTCAATTTCTTTTGGAAAGAGCAACAGTCATACATTAATATCTCCCTTGAATATTTTTATTCTATTGGAAAGAGCAACAATCAGACATCAATATCTCTCTTGAATATTTTACTAGTTTCAGAAATCAGTGGGTTGAGCCATGGTGTTACCATGCTCTCCTCAGGAGAGTGACACAGTATCTACGTCCATCCACACGCTCCTCTAGTAAACACATCATCTGAAAAAAAAAACTAATGAAAAGGCAAATTGTGAGCATGTTGAAGCCTATAGATTTTTTTGATAAAGCTTTAAAGTGAATCTTAGATACAAAGACTGTCAGTTATAGGCTTGTTAAAGCCACAGATGGGCGAGTGCTGATATATATATACCAGGCTGATAAAAGATGAAAAAAAAAAAAAAATCTTTCAGCCTAAGATAAAAAGACTATTTAAAAAGTATTGTTTTCTAAATCCCACTTATCAATCAAGAAATTAAATGATTCACCTCACTTCTCCTTCTCTTTGTGTTGTAAGAAAAATGACTGTTGGTTCAGAAAACATTGATAAAGCTATAAAGATAAATTGGACAAACAAGGAAGCGGAGAGGGAATAGTTCTAAAATATTGCCTCTGTGATTGGCACCAATGCACTAACAAGTCAGAGTTTTTGAGGGTCAGATGTGCACAGTGTGAAGTATGTGGGAGTTTGTCAGGCCCTGGGGTTGCTCAGGATCTCCATCTGTGGTGTTTGGAGCAGGCTGGATGCAGTAGGGGCTGCAGGGCAGTATATGGAGCTGTACCCACTGCATTTCACCAGTACGTTTCAGATCTCTGAAGGTCTGTCCTCATAACATGCACTGGCAAGTCACTATTTCTTCACTGCTTCCTTGACTTGAGGGTACAAGGCTGCATCTGCAACTTTTTCCATTCATGGGAAGAGCACTAAAATAATAGTTCATTCAAGCAGCCTGGAAAACCTGCCCTTTAGTCTGACCCTTTTAGTGCTCTTTTCTGGAAAGAAAACAAAACAAAACAAAACCCACCTTTTCCTCACATGCCAGTCTACTGGTCTTTGAGAACAGCCTGGTGATTTGGAAGCTGCTCTGGCTTTTGACCAAGCTGGGGCAGGATGTCAGCCTCAGGGCTCTGCAACATGACACATGGGAACAGCAACAGAGCAGGAGGTAGAGGAGCACAAAAGCATCTGCCAGCCTCATGGTGGAGATATCACTGAGTATGCCTGAGTCTGCCAAGCCCTGAGCTTGCAAGATGATGCCTCCCTGCTTCCCAGCACAGAATCTGTATGTACCTATCTGTCTGTGACCAAGCAGGTGTCCAGCTCAGCCAGATTTATTAGTAACACTTGACTCTGATATTGTTCTATCGCTCTTCTAAGGCACAAGAGTTCAATACTTCCTCCTGAATGTGCCAGTCTTGGTCTGGCAGCTGCTTCCTCATCAACATGAAGCAGAAAGAGATCATCTGATCTGACGCTCAGCAGGAGCCCTGGAACACGTGAAAGCAACTCCAGGGGACAGAAGACAGCTCTGTCAGTGAGAAGGCTGCCCTACTTTCATAGACTTATATAGCTTCATAAAACATCCCCCATGCCTGGGTGAATATATAAACTCCCATGTCAAGCTTTTCCCATTTTCCAGCCTAGTTTGGTGAATTATCCCATTACATACTTTCGCATGAAATCTATCAGTGAATACAGTACAGAAACTGTGTTTGGTGACTAAGACTTCAGCATCTTCTCTTTGAGTTCACATTTTGCCTTTGGTGCTATCAGACAAGTTTTGCAGAGGAGGCTTTGGCAAGTCTATGTCCAGCTAATGTCACTCAGTGCAGACCTTAACAGCTTTACTACAAAAGTCAGTGATCAGAGCTAAGCCCAACTGAAATTGTGCCAAAGTCCACAAAAATTTTATTCATGCCTTATCCATAAGTAGAGTCTATTTTAAAACTAAGTCACAGTTAAATTGGAATAAAACAGCATGTTCTGAAAAAACACCTTAACATCAAATGGCAAGAAGGTTATATAAACCAAAGGAACATTTACATTAGGACAGAGATTCAAGAAAAATACAATAAGCCATTGTTCGTTACAAATCATCTTGGAAAGCACATGCCAGGCACAGAATCTAATAGCATGGCAGTGCTAGGGCCTTAGTCCCTGATACAATACCCAGAATATCTCCAAGTTTGGAACATTTGCCTTCAGCCTATTAATCTAGCCTGACAATTCAAAGAATGACTTTCCAAATGGATCCAAATAATTGTGCTACTCCCTACTAAACTACAATAGGACATTGAATGAGGGAGGCTATAGCTGTAGTCTAGAAGTCTTTTAACCCCTAAATATTGGGCTAGAAATAATCTTAACTTGGCAGACCTAGTGCAAAGCTAGAAGTAGTGATTGTAACTCTATTGCCAGCAGCTGGAGAGTGGGCCCCAGCTCCCTGCACTGCTCTGCCATCCATATGGAGACCAAAGTGACAGAAAATAAACCACCACCAAACTCTTTGCTCTTATATATAGGCCAAAACATGACTATTATGCAGAAGCTCTTTTCTATGGTTTGCTCTATATTTTGCTCAGATTGGTCCCAGGCCCTCCACTGCATCCTTTTCTCTCATATGTCTTTAGAAAGGAGGCTGCTGCAGTGATTTATCAGGGCTGTCCCACACTACAGGTGTGATTTCTGCTCAGCTCCCATGAGGTACCAGGCCTGGAGCTATTCAGCTGCATTAATAAATCAAGGACTTTTGTGAGCAGAATTTTCTGCTCTCCATAACCCTGAATAGAGCTCAAAAAAGCACTCTTATTGAGAGCAGGCTACCCACCTTGTTTAGGTATTATCGCTTAGAAGAGCTGCACCATGTCCTCAGGGTGATTGTTTCCCTATACTGACTCTAGAAAGGGAGTGCAGATGATTAGACTGCATGGAGACATTAAGTGCTAGATGAGACTAATCTTGCCAAGGAGACTGCAAGGAGGAGGAAGTAGCCGGGAGCTCCAAGAGGAGAGGCCAGGTTCCTTTTAAGAGGGGGTCGGCACTGAGACAGCACGAAAAACGGTTTGCCCATATGTCTGGTGGAGGAGGACATCAAAAGAAGAATGAATCTCTGCAGCACGGGAGGTACTGTGCAAGGGGTGAAGGAATGTGGCATTAAAATGACAGAAAAATGTTGCCAAGTGAGTTTATTGAACAAAAAGTGTTTCAGGAGATAGCAGGAAACAAGACAAACTGAAGGAAAGCTCTTAGGGAAGATCAGCCCACTGGGAGTCACACAGAAGGCCGTTTTTCTTCCTGAGCTGGACATTCGCTCCAAGCACTGATTGTGAGATTCTTGTTGCTCTCCCTAGGGAGAAAAGGAGAAGACATGGATGAGACTGAGAGCACATGGGCCACAGAAGCTCTGTTCCCCATTTCACCAGCATGAGAAATGACTTAAACTTGCTTCATGATGAAGATTCTCCAAATCTCAACTACATCCTTGCCTTATTATCATTAAAGGAAAGATAAAAGATTTCACACACTACATACAGTCCAGCTGTTCCATGAAATACTTCTCATGCACCGACGTGCTTCTGGAAAGAAATGTGTGCTGGTGCACGAGTCAAATCACTTTGAAGTTAAAACCAGGAAGCCATGTATAGATCAAAAATGGGTCCTTCGTACTTTCCTTTAAAAAAACCCATCTCCTTTCACAATTTATGGTGCATCCAGCACATGGATCACAACCAGTTAGTCCAAACCACACTAAGGAAAGAGGCCTCTGTTTTCAGCAGATACAGGGAATTACCATGGAAGAGAAGGGACTTATTATTTCTGGTACAGGA